CACACACACACACACACACACACGCATACACATACACACACACGCACACACATGCATACACACAAAAACAGACACACACATACACACGTATTCACACACACACACGTATTCACACACACACACACACAAACAGACACACACACACACACACACACACACACACACACACACAAACAGACACACATGACAATTATAGTCTGTTTTGTCGACCAACCATCTTTGATCATGGCCTGATAGTCTTCTTCTGATATCATGATGGTTTTCTCGATCAGTCGCCCACTCTTGGTGCGCACGTATGTCTTGATCGTGCGCATCTTCGCCTCCTCCCATCCCTCGATCTGCTCGCCTTCCGCAGCGTACTTTTTGAGAACCTGCAAAGAACGTGGTAGATTGTGATCATGGACTTGTATTGTTCTATCCAAGACTGCGCTCTCTGACGTAATTCTGGTTTATCATGGAGCGTGCCATTTGACTTTATCTGGAACTTTATGAAGGGCAAGGAGGGAAATATTACTGAATGGGAGCTCAACTTTAACGAGAATGGTGTTTTGCCATTCATTTGTGTTCCCATGTTGCACACAAGCACGGCAAAGTTGGGTTTTCGTTTGTTTGTTTGTTTGTTTGTTCGTTTGTTTGTTTGTTCGTTCGTTCGTTAATTTTTTTGGGGGGACAGGGTTGGGTATTTTTTTAGTAGAGGGGAAAGAGCGGCAACCATGACAGTGCCCCGACTATAATAATTGTAATTCAAGCCTATGATTGTGACTGAACAGTTTGCAGTTAAAGGCGATATGCGGCAGGGCTTACCATGACAAATACGACATGGTAAGTCTGTCTGTCTCCGTGTATACAGTTGTGGTGCCGCCTCAGCCTATTTCTCCCTCCAACCACATTATTCTCAATGGCTTCGTCACCTCAGGCAGCAGTATACGCGAATCAAATCAAAACCAAACAAAACTTTGTTACCAGAACAGTTCTCTCAGCCAACTCACGTCTTTGGCGTCCTTCGTCCCCGCTTTGATTGCGTCATAGTCTTCTTTTGAGACGTAGACTAGCTTCTCCACCAGTCGGCCGCTCTTGGTCCGGACATACGTCTTGACGGCCACGACTTCGTCCTTGTCCCAAGACTCCAGACCTTTGGCCTCCTCCGCGGTCAGGTACTTTTTGAGTAGGTCTGTTGAAAGGGGAGGGGGAGGGAG